GTATTCAGGCTCAATTCATGGAACTTGAGAACAGATCCAATTCCCTAGATCAAGAACCCCTCACCAGCGTCAAGGAACCTCCCTTGAGGGGTGGGAGATTAATAATTAAGGGGAAGCACTAAACCCATAGGGGTTATACAGAGTTCGTGGGATGAAATTGGGTTCTAAAAAAGAAAGTGGACACGTCCAATTCCTTGGATCAAGAGCCCCTTACCAGCATCTAGGAACCTCCCTAAAGAGAGCGTCTGGGGGAATTAAAGGAATTCAGATTCGATTCAAGGAATTGAACCTATGCTCCAATTCCTTGGATCAAGAGCCCCTCACTAACATCACAGAACCCCCTTTCAGGCAACTTGATTATTATATTTAAGCCCTCAGGTCATACAGCAGGTCCCTTAATATTAAAAATAAGGGGCTCTGAAGTTCTAAACCTACAGGGGTCATATGGCAGCACCTCGATAAACGGGCAATTGACCGGACTGCTGGAAAGTGCAGTCCATATTCTTTTTGCTCAAAACAAACAATATTTCAAGTTCCAGCAAGCCTACTACACTTGTCGCCATCCTTGTCGCCAGTGAAAAAAAATGACCTCACGAGATTGATAAAGGGAATTTAAATCTACACGAAGGTCATGAAGGCTGCATGTTAACTGTTCACCACCACTCAAGAATACTTTAATATCTGAATAGGGGTAAGTAACATAAGCTCTAAACCCGGGAAAATAAGATTTAAACTCTGTACATGTAGGTATACACTTCAGTGTATATATCACACCTCCAATACGTTATGCCTAAAAAGTTTCAAAGATTTTTTCATACCTGTTGAAAATCGTATATAATATCGAAAAGTTGACGAGTAAGATAAATGTACAACAGTTAAGTATCTTTATTATTAAAACTTTTCGCCTATGCAGTAGACATCTTCAATAAATACAGAGGGCTGTAGGCAGTAGTGGCGAGGTAAAGATGAAGCAATCAATCCATCAACCTTGGACAAATAGTTTGAGGTGGTCAGTCCCTCAACCTGGAGAAGAGTTCAGCTCCATGGTCTGGAACAATGCAAAGTTGAAGCATGAAAATTGAGACTCAAATACTCGAGGGTGATATGTGGAAGATCTCGAAGACGTTGCAGGAGGCGGGGTCCACTAACAGAAGAATTATGAACTGCAGCAAGTCTGCTGACATGCTGCAGTTCTATTTCTAGAAGGTTGATGGACTGATTACATGATCTACCTCGCCACTCTCCTGTTGCCTACAATCCATTCTCTATCTGTTGCACACGCGTCTTACTCATCAACTTGTCGGTAATATATATACCGTTTTCAACATACTTGTCAGACACAGCAACATAACAGTGTCTTGCTACAGAAGACATATTCCACTTCATTGTTTAACTACTAATTTTAAGAAGGGTTGTATTCCAGAGGGATCTGCTAAGCATGGACCAGTAGGCTTGCTGCAGTTTACATCTCTTCCGTTAGTGGAGCCCGCCTACCTGCAACGTCTAGTTTAATATGTTTATTATGCACCCCATACCCATCCTGTGGGCGGTAGTCAAAAGATTACAGAGGTACATAATTGGTCCAGGGACTGGACTCCAAAGTTTTGATAGCTGAACAAGTTACAAAGGTAATGAGCTCCAGGTTGAGCTGGTCACACTCATGAATAATTGCAAAGGTAATGAATCATAAACACATTAATCATGAGAATTTACAAAGGTAATGAGCTCCAGGTAGAGCTGGTCACAATCATGACAAGTTTCAAAGGTAATGAATGATAAACACGTTATGACATGATTACAATCATAGACAAATTACAGAGTAATGAGCAGTTAACAAACGTAGTAGGTAATTCATCCATTGCCCCAACGTTGATTTGCGTGCAGCCAGCAGCAACAGCCTGGTTGATCAGGCTCTGATCCACCAGGAGGCCTGGTCACAGACCGGGCCGCGGGGGCGTTGACCCCCGGAACTCTCTCCAGGTAAACTCCAGGTAAACAACAGATGTTGCTAGGTGCCTGTCTCTCCTCGGTAGACAGCTATTGCAAACAGCAGCAAGTTGCCCAGGGATCTGCTGCTTGCACGAGCACCATCGACCCTCCCCAAGAGGTCCAAGAAGCCAGTGAATCCGTTAGCAGCCCGAAGGAGAGCTGTCCTAGGGACATGTCAGCGTCCTGGTGGACGCCAAGTTGATTGAAGATCCCAGGCCCTCGTGTGCACGGATGTTGAAGTTTGAGGAACTGAGTACACACTGCCTGTGGCACACCTGGCAGCTGCCTCGCGGTCGAACTCCACGATGCTGTCCCTGTAGTGGAAGTTCCTGTGAGCCCGGCACTCCCTGCGGCTGCAGTGCCATCGCTGACATCGTGGGTTAGGGGAGAAGTACCCTCTACAGATGGGGTGGCGCTGGGAGTTGGGTGGGTGAGGCGGGGAGACGCGCAGGGGTGAGGCGTTATGAGAGGGTGAATTGCTCATTACACTATAATTTGTTCATGATTGTAGCCATGTATAAACGTAAGTAACCATTCTTACAGTATTCATTACCTTTGTAACTTGTGAGCTCATTACCTTTGTACCTAGTTCAGCTATCAAAACTTTGGGGGCCCAGTCCCTGGACCCATTACGTACCTCTGTAATCTGTAAATACCTTTGTAACTTGACATGATTGTGACCAGACCTACCTGGAGTTCATTACCTTTGTAAATTGTGAGTTCATTACCTTTGTAAATTGTGAGTTCATTACCTTTGTAAATTGTGAATTCATTACCTCTGTAACTTGCTCAGCTATCAAAACTTTGGAGTCCAGTCCCTGGACCAATTATGTACCTCTGTAATCTTTTGACTACCGCCCACAGGATGGGTATGGGGTGCATAATAAACATATTAAACTAAGTTATGAGAGGGTCACTGTTTACTACACACGCCCTCCCCCTCCCCCCAGCGGAGAGGGGGAGGCGCTGACTGGTCCTGACTCTACAACACCAAACTCTCTAAAACTGCACAACACTTCAACTATTTACGCTGAAACGATGCACTGGGATCTGTCACGCTTCACATTCGACAGTATTTAAATCTCCATTCTCATGCTTCAGCTTCATAGTTCCAAACCATGAAGCTGCAACCTTCTCCAGGCTGATGGTCTGACCATCTCAAACTAGAGCTAACAAACAATTTTGACCATGATATTCATTACCAGTGACCTAGTATTAGTTGGAAATTGCTACTCTGGCCTCGGGAGCATTTTAGTTGTTGACCAGTGTTATAAATGAATCCAATTTATATAAACCAAAAGAAATATTCACATTATTTTCAAAACTGCTCTTTATGGAACATGATTCTATTATAGTCATGTCGACCATGGACTTGCTTGATACAACTTTTTCAGCCTTTTGAAAATCAATTGGATGGTTAAAATGTCTCACATGAATAAACAGACTGTGAGGTGTAGTCTTGTATATGCCTTCCTGTTAATGTTTTATTTTTATAGTTCCTTGATAATATGAGACGTCACGAAAGCCCTTGGAATTTCACTATTTTTCACAGTGGTTGTTCTACATATATATATATATATTATATATATATATATATATATATATATATATATATATATATATATAGCTTATAATATATATATAACCACACACATATATATATATATTAGTATATATTATATATATATATAATTATATATTATATATTATATATATAATATATAAAATATATATATATATATATATATATTATATATATATATACATCACACACACACACACACGACAATCACGAGGTAAACTTAGTTAAGTACTTTATCATACTATTCTTAGTGCATCAGATGTCTATTATATAATAGCTAATAATAATAATATATATATTTTATATATGTAGCTGATGATAATCAAATTATAACAACAGACTGGACGGCCAACGTAACAGCCGCAGGAGGTGGATCTTAGCTTAAGTACTTCACAACCAGTGCCGCGACGACTTGCATATTTACAAGTGATACAGCATGAAATAGGGTAAGTTTTAATATATTACGCGGTTGCACAACCTATCTTAGAATCAAGATGTTGTTGTACCAACAGTAAACTCTAGTATATACAACCTGATCAATATAGGCCTGTCACATAACGATACTCAAGTCTCATAATATAATATATATATATATAATATATATATATATATATATATATATATATATATATATATATATATATATATATATATATATATATATCCTATTGCCCTCTGTACTCTTCTCATTGTATGTATCGAGGTAGAGGGGCTTGGCTAATGTAACACTTGGTTACCTTGCTCGGATCGTACACTGACCGAAATACATTTGGTTAATATATGTATAAAGTGCCTACGTCCATTATTACACTGGATCAGTAGTCAGGGTTAAGTGGTTTCCTTTAACACGTTTACAGTAATAAAAATAATTATGTGTTCATTAGTGATAATTGTATACACCATTACGTCACTGGTTACTGCACGTGATTGAAGAGAGTTAATTGTGCAATAAATAACCCTCCTTGATAACTGTTATCATTATTCAATACCATGGCTACCCGTAAACGAAAAAGCAGGTCAAATTATAACTGAGAGAAATGATTTCCCTATAGATAAGTTACACATGTACGTGTGGGAAATATTCAGTTTAAAGTTAACAGAAAGGGGCAATAGGAAATATATTGCAATAAAGTGTGTGCATCGTCTGTTTACATGGGATAATATAAGTGACAAGACCTTGCACAGCCTCCCACTGATTCTCCTGTATATTACCTTGGATTCTCTTTTACTTACATAGTAACGAACCATATATATATTTCCCACAAAGCTACACTTGTTTAACAGTATGATAAAGATAGCAATATAGTTGTTTATGTGCATTAATTTTAAAATGATATCCCTTAACAATTACAATAAACCTTGTTTTTATGATTGTAGAAGAGGATCAGGTTGATGCTTGCTTCATGTTTGTGCAGGGAATATTTTCTGATAGTTACAGTGTTTATACCGAGTGTCAAGTGATTAAGGAAAGGGAAGTGATAGGGGAACATTTTATATTTGATAAATACTAGCAAAATCTAGCTGATGGGGGAATGGCTCATACTGGACGTGTTGTAGGATACGTTCCTCAGCCCAGTTATGATGGACAGGTACGTCAGGTGAATGCTTCAGGCTCATTAAATAAATGATTATTTTGTAGTGTCTACAGTCGTCATTACATGTTTTAGATAGGTCAAAAGCATTTACCTCGAATTGAATTATTTGACCTCAGTATTCGTCTGTAATGCGCTATGATTCCCTAACATCACATTCTATTGTCAGAATTTTAATTAAGTTCGAATTTAGTTATATGAATATATTAACGTGTAGGAAAGTGTCTTAATGACAATCTGTCATATGTATGTAAAAATTCCTTACAATCAGTTGCCTAATGACCCACACGGGTTTAGCTGATTTATTAGGCGAACTTGGGCATTTCTATACAATATATACAACTTATGTACACCACGGAATCAGTATTTCTTGTCCAAATTTTTATTTTGGAAGATAGCAAAAACAGTATATTTGTTTTGATTTCATAACACGTCCCCTCAAGGTTCCTTGATGTTGGTGAGGGGCTCTTGATTTAGGGAATTGGATCTGTGCTCCAGTTCCCCGAATTAAGCCTGAATGCCTTCCACATCCCCCCCCCCAGGCGCTGTATAATCCTCCGGGTTTAGCGCTTCCCCCTTGATTATAATAATAATAATAATAATTCATAACACGTCTGAGTCAATCAGTGGATAGTATTGAGTTGTGTTATGGGCCTAGTCGAATGTAAACCTAAGACTCGCCAGTACTGATGGCAGAGTAAGGTTAAGTTATGTTAGGTATTCTAGGTTGGGTTAGGCGGGTTTCATTAGGTTACATTACTTTTTTTTTTTTTTTTTTACTGTTTTCAAAAATTATTGTGCAATTCTATTTATTACTAGGTAAACATGTAGCGGGTGTGAGGAGAGTTACCATGTCATATTTTGCTTAGGAATTTAACCTGGGTCCTTTCAGCTTGGAATTGAATGATGTAATCAAATAAATATTATCTTACTCAATTTATTACAATAGTTTCACATTGTTATTGCATTGCTTATATTTAGTAAATTAAAAATAGTCCGGTTGGGGTGAGGACATTATGTTATGTTGCATGTTGACCCAAGGAAAATCTCGTGTAATTGTAGCATATACAGTAAATCTTAATGCAAATATATGTATCTGAAATTTCGTAATGAAATTTCTTGGCACATTTTGTTTTAGTTTTTGGTATGTGAGACGTATCCTATTTACATTATGGTACATTTGAATTTACATTCAGTCTGATGTGATGACGAAAGTGGAGAGAAAGAAAATTTAACTCATGCCTATGTTGTTAGAAACCAAAAAATATACAGGGTATATACATATTTTACTTTTAGATTGACTGTACAACAGTATATATATATTTTATTTTAGTAAACTAAGTACTTGTCTATCTTACTGTACAAGATATTATTATTCCTGTTAACCTATATACCACATAATTTGGGCATCAAAGTTTATCAGTGTAACAAACTTCTCTTTTAATTTATATATTTTTTTCTCTCTCTTTTCTTACAGATTGAACCAACAAAATTACTACGATTGCGTGTTATAGGCGGTAGTGGTTTAGCAAAAAAAGATATTTTTGGAGCAAGGTATGTAATGATAGCATTTTTTTAGACATGAATAATGTGCAGCAATATAGGCTTATTTGTTTTGTGACATACAGTCAACTCCCTTATAAAGCTCCTCTTGTAGTGTAATTTTTTTAAATGAGATTGAAAAAGTTCATCTAAAATTTAATAATATGAAGAGTTGATAAATCAGACACTTGAGAAACACTTAGGTATCCTAATTTTGGAGGTGTTTTGCCAGCCAGTGGCTTCATCAGTCCAGTACAGAAAAATGGTGTAAGATGAGAAGGAATTCATGGTAATAAGACTCTCAGCTGGAGATGATGTGTTCATTCCATCAATCATGATAGAAGTACAGCATATGCATGGAGAAGCGGGAGGCTTATATACTGGAAGCAGGCGAGTTGAAGCAGTTAGAGGTGGCATCACAGGTGGAGAAAATCCACTGATGGAAGTAGGTCATGCCAGTATGTTAGGCAAGCCTTGAAGAAATCTCTGTATTACGATCCCATTATGTTGCTGTGTCAGACAGGTATTATGTATATAAATGGTATATCAACATGTCAGTTTTCTAAATCATTTATATAATAATAAGCATGTGAAAAGGGCTTCATAGAATGTGCTATTATATTTTACTGTACTTTTTCAGTTTCATTTGCAAAAAATTGCACTATATAAGCAGGCTGACTGTGTGTATACATTACATAATTGTCAATGGTTTTAGATGGTCCTTTCATTTTTAAATGGATAATACAGGTTAAGTTACTTGAATATTTCAAACTGTCATCACATTTTTCAGCCTGGTACTGTCGATTCTCACTGAATTATGCGCACAGCACACTTGAAGTTCAAGTTAATCATAATGTATGCCATTAAGCAAAATTCATTAATAATGTCTATAAAAACTACATTATGTTCTTCATTGTATAGATACTGATTATTGAAAAAATTATATTCATAAATATTTTGCATGTACAGATATGCAGGAGGGCTCTGCCTACACAGCACCTTCTTTTCAGGATTCCACATTTTCGTTGGACCATTGTTCATTATGTTCCACCTGCCAGCAATGGTCACTGCAGGTGGAACAATGACTCATTTTGAAAGCCAACAGAAACGTAGAACACCGAAAGTAGGTGCTGTATATACAGAGCCCCTCCTGTATTTTTATTTGTATTTTGATTAATTATAAGATCTGTCATAAAATAAACGAAAACTGATGTACAGTACAGGTATCCCTGTGCTTAGAGCTTAATTAATTCTGGGAGCAATGTCACCAGTCCAAGAGCTTTAATTCAAGCCATTATTTCCAGTAGGAGCATAGGAGCCATGTGATAAATGTTCGTTCAACTCCTGAGAACCATTTCCATACCCCAAGAATAAAAATTTTTAATGGGCTATCTCAGTGTGAAAAATAGTCATTAATATGGGGAGTGTAACTTGAGCTGTTATAAGTTGGGCATCACTATCATATTTGTTCATTTTATTCAGCTGATTCATATTTATTTGCTATAGAACTTAATTACTCAGTTGATAAAAGGCATTGTTGCTGTACTTTATGGCTTATTGAACAGTTTCAACTATTTGAATTATTAAGATTCTTCGATGCTATTCTGTATTGTAGTTTATATAGGCTACAGTATAGTACAGGGTGACCATCACTAATCCGGCATCATCGGGATCTGTATGTTGCTCAATTAGTGATTTTGCCAAATCACATAGTGATTAGGTTAGAATACACTGAACCCAATGGCGATATTTTTACTTTGACAATTTCACCCACTTTACACCCTATTTTTGACCCATTCCATTGTTTTAGTATACCAAACTCACAGCTATTTTGCTAGTATTCCTTCTATTCTGTCGATTGAATACAAGAAGCTGCCCAATTACCTATTTCAACTACCCAGTAATGTGGTCAGAAATTGGTAATTTGGCAAATTTCACACAAATTTCAAGAGATGCCAATTTCAAAACAGGGTCCAGAATAAACAGTGCAGACATTCCTGGAACTAAAATAACATTTTCTCTGTTCATTAGTACACATCCCATAGATTTTGAAAAGAAATGGACAACATGCCCACTCACTCAGCACCTGAACCAGATTCATGGAATGCTCTATTTATAAAGAAGTGTTAAGTACCATTAGCAGGAGCACTCAGCATTTTTTGGAGAAAGAGCTCTAGGTGAAATACTGGAGGCCTTAAAGAGTGCAGACATAGCTCCTTTGCATAAAGGAGGTAGTAGAGCACTAACTAAGAATTACAGACCAGTAGCCCTAACTCCTCACATCATAAAAATCTTCGAAAGAGTGATGAGATGGCAGATTACAAATTTCATGGACCAACACAACCAGCATAACCTGAACCAGCATGGTTTTAGAGCAGGATGATCATGCCTGTCAGCTGCTGAACCATTATGACAGAATTACGGAGGCATTGGAAGACAACCAAAACGCAGATGTGATTTGCACAGATTTTGCGAAGGCGTTTGACAAATGTGGTCATGGAGTGATAGCGCACAAAATGAGATCTATGGGCGTTACGGGGAAGGTAGGCAGATGGATTTTTAGGTTCCTAACATACAGAACGCAAAAAGTAGTAGTGAACACGGCAAGATCCAGCATCAGTGAAGTCAAAAGCTCAGTGCCCCTAGGCACTGTCCTGGCACCTCTGCTGTGTCTCATCTTCATGGCAAATACAGATAAAAACACCCAGCACACTTTTGTATCATCATATGCAGATGACACTAAAATAAGCATGAATGTCACTACGGTAGAGGACACTGAAAAAGTACAGGAAGACATAAACAGGGGTTTCCAGTGGGCAGTGGAGAACAACATGGCATTCAATGGTGATAAGTTCCAGCTGCTTAGGTATGGAAAGAATGAAGAACTCAAAAAGAACACTATATACAAAACTCAAGAGGGTCACCAAATAGAATGTAAGGAACATATAAAACACCTGGGAATAATTATGTCAGCTGACCTTTCTTTTAAAGACCATAACAAAACAAAGATCACAACAGCCAGGAAGATGACAGGGTGGGTACTGAGAATTTTCAAAACAAGGGAAATAATGCCGATGGTGACACTCTTCAAATCACTAGTGCTCCCTCACTTAGAATATTGCTCAGTGCTAACAACCCCATTTAAAGCAGGAAAAATATCAGAGCTGGAACAAATACAGAGATCGTTTACTGCTCACATTGAGCCAGTAAAGCATCTAAACTACTGGGAACACCTTCAAGTCTTGAACATGTACTCATTGGAGGGGAGGAGAGAGAGATACACGATAATATATACCTTGAAAGTACTTGAGGGCCTGGTCCCAAATCTGCACACTGCCATAACAACATACTGGAGTGAAAGATATGGGAGGAAGTGTAAAATAAACCCAGTGAGGAGCAAGGGTGCAGTGGGGACAATAAGGGAACACTGTATCAACATCCGGGGTCCCAAACTATTCAACATCCTACCAGAAGATATCAGAAACACGGCTGGAGCAAGTGTAGAAACCTTCAAGAGGAAACTGGACAAGTATCTTCACCAGGTGCCGGATCAACCAGGCTGTGATGGATATGTGGGGCAGCAACAGCCTAGTTGACCAGGCAAGCACCAGACGAGCCTGGCCCATGGCTGGGCTCAGAGAGTAGAGAAGCTCTCAAAACTCTTCAAAGGTATATCAAAGGTATGTTTCGAGGCCCCTCTTATATTATACTTGCTTTCATTTTGAATTTTTATTCACACAAAAAATAGAAGATTTAGTGTTATGCAGACTACTGCATTATTGTAACAATTGTATAAATAATGTCTGCCCATTTGTGACTGTATTAGACTGGCCAGTTGGACATGTATTGGACGGTGACATAATTTGTTTACCCTTGAACATTGGCTAATTTGAGTTCAATCTCAAGGTACTTTCCACATGAAACCAATCAAAATCATATTTATTTCTCTACTATATCTTCCATTCTATCAACTGAAACCCAAAAATGAGAATATAACCATAAAAAACATACGAAAATACACCGCAGTCACTATTTTACACTAAAAATAAGGTCGCAGTTTTTTCTCATTATGCACTGCGTGCTGCAGGATTTTTTATATACACATAGTGCATACTTACCACACAGACATATTCTCTCACATATAGTCTAAAATTTACCGGTCACGGCTTATCTGAGTGGGACTGAGCTCATGGCGACTGCTGGCTTCAAAGCCACCTTATCTTTTATGGACAATGTATGGTGTATGTGCTTTAAACAACAAGAAGCATTTCTTTTATTCGTTGGAACCATGGCTAGTGCTAAAAGCGAGTAGGTTATAACAATAAATGGAGAAAAACAAATTGTAATGTCTTACGCAGCAAGTAGCGGCAGGTTGGTGTTTTGACCCTGCAAATTTGAAATTATGCTAGCCGAAATTAGTTCTGGATTACTGATGAAACCGGATTACTGACTGCCGGATTAGTGGTGGCCAACCTGTACTTAGGCTGAATAAACTTTACCTGTATATGTACTCAGTCTTACAGTACAGGACATCTCAGAATATAGGATAATTTTATAATCCACAGAGAGAATTCATTTCCTAGGTTTGACTATTTTTCATAATTTTTTTTTTTTTTAAGAAATGAGGCTGGTTAAGTGCATGTAACCTTTTATCCATAACAGTTGATTTTAAAATTAACATGATAGTTAAGACAGTGGTAAGTATAGTACCCTCTACTCACTTAGTGATGTACTCGTTTACTGACGACTCAGACTTACGACAGGCTCTCTGACCAGTATGCATACCTAAATACTGTGGATTAGAGCTGATTTTGTCTATTCTGTTTATTACAATATACTGTATAAACATTTAAAAATATACCTGAAATGTTATAAACGGTGCAAAGGTGACATTAAAACAATATCAAAGATGGTTGACACAAACCCACTACCATTATAGTATGCTCCTCACTTAGCGATGAATTCGTTTACTGATGCAGTCTTAGGAACGGAACTCCGTTGTTAAGTAAGGA